ATTTTTCTGATCCCAGTAAACCTTCCTTCTACTTGTCTCACAGCTAATAAGGGCTCCTCCCACGTCGCAGCAGACGAATCCGTCCATCATTACAATACGATAATATTCATACATTGGGTATTTATTGTAAAGAGTAAATACGAATTCAAATGTTCACCTATTGGATGAATTCGCTTATTGGTACCACTCTGAGGTGCTGAAGCGCTTCGAAGATTGTAACTGGATCAGCTTCCAGGTAATTATTACCTTTGCAATCGGCCTCTCCCGAATATATTATCTTTCGGATATACAAATAAGGTGTATCGTTTTTCCTTTCGGATAGTCAACGAGAAATTTCTTGTGAAGCGTAGTTTTCACACTTACACATTGGTAACCTCCCACAAATGAAATATATTCCAAAGTGATTTACATGGCATTGTTAACTGGAGGATTTGCTCTCCTAAACGGTCTTCGAAATTACTGGGAGCTAATGTCTTCAGGGAAACGTCCAAAACAGGACCCTCAAAAACCGCTGGAAGGTGACGCCAGAACTAAGCTTAGGAGATGGTAGTAACGTTAGGGAGAGCAAAGGCTGTTCACATCCTCTACCAGAATCCCTTCTCCTTCCTAAAGCTTAGTCTAACTCCTGCGAGTAGGTCACTCATTTCAATGTTCCCCTAACGAGAGCGCCTCGCTTGATATCCAGCCTTTCAGTAATGGCTCCGTGGACGATTTGGCCCGAGTTTCGCCGAGAGGTGCGACTCCTTCAGCGACCATAGCTTCTTTCATGGAAACTTTAAACAACTGGAATGAGCAAAACATTTTGAAATCTACAAGCTTATCCTTCCTAATAATGTAGAAGTGAACTCCGGTTTCAGCTGACTCAAATGGTTATAGGTTTATGAAGTGGACGCTACAGTTGCACTTCTTCTTGAGTAGTGGGTTCTTTCCTCTCATTATTTAAAAGTCTCTTCCGGCCACCTCTTGATGCCTCAAACAGCCATCTTCATTGCAGGGAACGAAAATTAAGCGTACGCCATAAAACGAGAGCTCGCTCAGGGACGCGCCATACACTCGACATTCGGCGCGGATAGCGGCTCCCATCTACTCCCGAACAGGCTATCGCTCTCATCATTACTGGTCTCGACCCTTACGACCCCAACCCCCCCCCCCCAGGACCTCACACTGGGCCTAATACAACCTCCTCGTCTTCGGTGGTACCGGGGAGGAGGGAGGTACTTTTTCGGCCTTGTTGGCGGTCCCTTCCAGTCTCTTTTTAACGGCGCTTCATTTCGCATCGCTACACACTTTCAAGTGCAAAAATACTCGGCCTCCATTCCGATCCGTGCCTTTAGGTCAGATCACCGCTCATTTGCTGTACCCAAGCCTAAGCCTAGCTAGGCTTCGACCACCGCGCCGTCCTAAAAATCTGGGCTATATTTCTTTAGCCATAGTCGCTCCCGAGAGATCATTAGAAAGTTTTCTGGAAGCCACTGACCCTGTAAGTCTCTTTGGTGTTGGCACGAATTGATAACGCTGACACAAAAAGGAAATATTCTAAAACATTTTATCAAAAAATCTCTTCTAGCTTACAAGTAATGTGACTGCTTTAAATGAATGTACAAAGAAAAAACAAAATATGCAGCAGGCACTGGAAGGGCAAGTTTCCTCTGAAAAAAAGGTGACGACATCGATGATAATGTTACATTATGAGAAGAGGAGGCTCTGAAAAAATCAATAACAACTCGATAAGCTACAGTTAAACGCATCAGATCGATACTCATTCAACACACACGCACATTAAAACGGGTAGAACCTCATGGTATTGAAAGTCTGCAAAACTGAATATAAACGAGAAGGAGGTGGAGTCTTC